AGCTATAGATAGTTCACGTAGGATTAGGATAGGATATAATTATTATGATTAGGATAGATTAAGATATAAATAAAATATTTAAAATAGTAAATGATAATATTGATCATAGAAATATTTTCCCCAACTCGTACTTTTAAATAGAGTATGATATAATATTATATATAATATATATATATATATATTATATATATATAATAATTATATTAATATAGAGAGAGAGAGAGAGAGAGAGAGAGAGATATGGGTATGCTTGTTACCAAGCCTCACAAAAACTTGTGCTTGGTAGTGATGTGGCACAATCTCCTCCGCCTCATTCAATTAGGGAGCACTATTCATCATGTTTGAGGAGTGCATGAGGATATTAACTGTTTAATAGTGTCAGGTGATTATGCCACCCTCACTACCAAGCTAAAAACTTTTTGTGGCGTGGTACCAAGTAACCATAATATATATATATAATATACTAATATATATATATATTTATGTATAATATAGTATATATATATATCTATATATATATATATTATATATATATATATATATTAATAAGGTGAAAACTTGTGTCACACTTAAGTGGATAGGGAATGAGTGTGTCGACTAAAGATTTTAACACCCCTCATTATTGTCTAAGGATCCTTGTAATTATATAAAAGATAGTTTTATGATTAATAACTGTGTCGGCCTAGGATTTTTGCGTTACATCAACTAGTGATCAGAGAGTTTGCTATATATATATATATATTAATATATATATATTAATATATTATATTATATATTATATATATATAATATATATATATATATATGAGAATATGGAACTTTGGTACCAATTTCTCATTGACTATGGTAGTGACGTGACCAGATCTGACGCCATACATCACGTCTCACAAGATACGACCTTAATCACTATTCCACTACTGAAACAAAGAGGCTCCATCTTTGAGACCGTGATGTTAGGGTAGATTTGACCCCTCACTACCAAGTTTATTGAAAGACTTAGTAGCCGAAGTTCGTTTAATCTGCTCGCTCTCTCTCTCTCTCTATATATATATATTAGTATACTATATATATTATAATATATATTATATATATATATTAATATATACGATATATATAAGAACCGCACTAATTATACAACATTATCCACTTTTTTTCCATTCCTCTATCTAAAAGGTCTAGAAGTTCTAATGCTGTCAATATCCCAAGTTTAGCGTAGGAAACTAGGTTGGTAAAAAAAGTAGAATGAGGCCCTACCCCCGCCCTGCCCCATATTTCTCTTCTTTTCTCCATCCCCCCATGGCCACCATCATCAAACCATACCATCAGATTGGATCATGTCTCCTCTTACTCCTCTTTTATTAGCTTTTTTTACCGAATATTATATCTCTATAATTAATTTAAAGTTAAACTTAATAGCTCCATAATTTGTAAAATACAATTAAAATTGAGATAGGAAAGAAAGAGATTTGGAGAAGTAAAACAAAAAGGAAGAACATAGGTTAATTTTTTTAGACTTGTACTATAATGAGAATTTAAAAAATAAAAAAAACTTACAAATGATTATAACGTCTATTAAAAATATATTATAGTCTTACCAAAAGTTATTCCTTAGTAACTAACATTATAAGAAACAATTACTAATCAATATAATAGCAAAAGTTGTAGTTATATCATCAAAATACATAAACTATGTAGTCCTTGATTACATATACTATCCCACGAGTATCTCACTTAAAAAAATTGTTCTCAATTATCCCACTAAAATATCCCACTTTTAAAATTTTAGGAAAATTGTGTCAATGCCCTCAAAGCAACATCTTCATGTGCTGCAGCCCCTTCACTTTTCCCCCAAGAAGTGTGACATATTGTGCTGCAGTTTTCTTTTAGCAATTATTATATGCCAACTAAGCATAGAGAGAGGATAAAAAATACAAAACCCCAAAATGCCCTTATCTAATCTATTCTTTCATGTTAGGTCTATTTAGAGTCCGTATTAGGTCTATTTAGAGTTCTTGTTAGGTCTAATTTCGGCCCAATTTAATTCATATTAAGTCCAATTTAATGTTAAGTCTAATTTCATGTTAAGTCCAATTTAAGTCTAATTTTATGTTAAGTCTAATTTAATTCATATTAAGTCTAATTTAATTCCTTTTAAGTCTAATTTAAATCATGTTATGTCTAATTCAACTTGTTTTAAGTCTAATTTAATTGGACTTAACATGAAATTAGACTTTAAAGAATTGAATTAGACTTAACATAATTTAAATTAGACTTAAAAGGAATTTAACATGCTTGAAATTAGACTTAAAATTTCGTGTTAGATCCAATAAAAATTCGTGTTAAGTCTAATTTATGTTAAGTCTAATAAAAATTCGTGTTAAGTCTAATTTCATGTTAGGTCTAATAAAAGTTCGTGTTAGTTCTAATAAAAGTTCGTGTTAGTTCTATTTCGTGTTCGTGTTAGTTCTAACTCATGTTAGGTCTAATTGGTGTTTATGTTAGTTCTATTTCGTGTTCATGTTAGTTCTAACTCTGTTCGTGTTAGTTATATTTCATAAATTAGAACTAGCATGAATTGTGTTAGTTCTAATTCATGAATTAGAACTAACACGAACTGTGTTAGTTCTACCTCAATTCTACTATAATTATAATTCCAAAATAAAAATGCTACAACATATATTATAATATTAATTGTCAATATCTTATAGTCTAACTAAAAGTTATTTAATAGTATAACATTCTCCTAAACAATTACCAATCAATAATAATAAGTTTAAAAATACTTAAATAGTATTTATATTCTCAAAATGCATAAATATATACTTTATGATTATAAAAATTTATCCCACGATATTTTATCAAAATATTCAGCTTCATAAAATTATTCATATTTATCCCACTAAAATATCGCACTGACGGAAAATTATTTCATTTTAACGATTATCCCACTTCGTATGAAAATGTCTCAATTGACTAACACCCCCTAGGAGATTACCCCCACTAGCAGGACCCAAAAAAAGGGCAAATGCGATATGCTTCTCAGGACGTGCATAAGCAAAGCAAATACTCAAATAATTAACTCGAGAAATAGAATCAACAAATGAGTTGACAAGAAAAGAAAAAAAAAGTCAACATATATTTAGCAAGACAAACCCAAACACGAGCTTGCTCATTTAGTCAAAAAAAAAAAGGAAAATGGAAAACTGGCAATCTTACATTTTAGTGCCCTGTCAGAACATATAACGAATGAGGAAAAAGCAAAAGAAAATCGCAAAAACTCTAAAATGGCTAATATTACCCATGCTAAAACCCTTCGTACATGATAACATTCAAATGAATCCAAGGCACATCATTTCTAATAACTGATGTTTAAAATACATGCAGCAGTATCAGATGCAAAAATCATACATTTATACAGACTGAAGGATAAGGGCAATTCATACGGTCAGCGTATTCAATCCGTAGCCATAAATACTAAAAAGCAGTGAGGGCTTCCTTTATTCCAAAAGGGAACTTCAAGGATATAAGTGTGACATATTGTGCTGCAGTTTTCTTTTAGCAATTATTATATGCCAACTAAGCATAGAGAGAGGATAAAAAATACAAAACCCCAAAATGCCCTTATCTAATCTATTCTTTCATGTTAGGTCTATTTAGAGTCCGTATTAGGTCTATTTAGAGTTCTTGTTAGGTCTAATTTCGGCCCAATTTAATTCATATTAAGTCCAATTTAATGTTAAGTCTAATTTCATGTTAAGTCCAATTTAAGTCTAATTTTATGTTAAGTCTAATTTAATTCATATTAAGTCTAATTTAATTCCTTTTAAGTCTAATTTAAATCATGTTATGTCTAATTCAACTTGTTTTAAGTCTAATTTAATTGGACTTAACATGAAATTAGACTTTAAAGAATTGAATTAGACTTAACATAATTTAAATTAGACTTAAAAGGAATTTAACATGCTTGAAATTAGACTTAAAATTTCGTGTTAGATCCAATAAAAATTCGTGTTAAGTCTAATTTATGTTAAGTCTAATAAAAATTCGTGTTAAGTCTAATTTCATGTTAGGTCTAATAAAAGTTCGTGTTAGTTCTAATAAAAGTTCGTGTTAGTTCTATTTCGTGTTCGTGTTAGTTCTAACTCATGTTAGGTCTAATTGGTGTTTATGTTAGTTCTATTTCGTGTTCATGTTAGTTCTAACTCTGTTCGTGTTAGTTATATTTCATAAATTAGAACTAGCATGAATTGTGTTAGTTCTAATTCATGAATTAGAACTAACACGAACTGTGTTAGTTCTACCTCAATTCTACTATAATTATAATTGCAAAATAAAAATGCTACAACATATATTATAATATTAATTGTCAATATCTTATAGTCTAACTAAAAGTTATTTAATAGTATAACATTCTCCTAAACAATTACCAATCAATAATAATAAGTTTAAAAATACTTAAATAGTATTTATATTCTCAAAATGCATAAATATATACTTTATGATTATAAAAATTTATCCCACGATATTTTATCAAAATATTCAGCTTCATAAAATTATTCATATTTATCCCACTAAAATATCGCACTGACGGAAAATTATTTCATTTTAACGATTATCCCACTTCGTATGAAAATGTCTCAATTGACTAACACCCCCTAGGAGATTACCCCCACTAGCAGGACCCAAAAAAAGGGCAAATGCGATATGCTTCTCAGGACGTGCATAAGCAAAGCAAATACTCAAATAATTAACTCGAGAAATAGAATCAACAAATGAGTTGACAAGAAAAGAAAAAAAAAGTCAACATATATTTAGCAAGACAAACCCAAACACGAGCTTGCTCATTTAGTCAAAAAAAAAAAGGAAAATGGAAAACTGGCAATCTTACATTTTAGTGCCCTGTCAGAACATATAACGAATGAGGAAAAAGCAAAAGAAAATCGCAAAAACTCTAAAATGGCTAATATTACCCATGCTAAAACCCTTCGTACATGATAACATTCAAATGAATCCAAGGCACATCATTTCTAATAACTGATGTTTAAAATACATGCAGCAGTATCAGATGCAAAAATCATACATTTATACAGACTGAAGGATAAGGGCAATTCATACGGTCAGCGTATTCAATCCGTAGCCATAAATACTAAAAAGCAGTGAGGGCTTCCTTTATTCCAAAAGGGAACTTCAAGGATATGCAGCAACCTCCTCTTTCGATCCTCACATGTTACCTAACTAGTAAATAAAAAAAATTTAAAAAAAAAATTAAAAAAAGAGGTCATGAAAAGAGAACAGATTTAAGGGTCTTGAGGTTCAGATTCAGACTGGTTGTTGGTGACGATACGATTCATAATCTCCGAGATCTTCAAAATAGCATTCTGGACCTGCCCATCATCATCAACATCATCAGCTTCTGTGTTCCTTGACCATGGAGATGACTTTAATCCCAAGCGGTATTCATTTGTTCCCTTCTTCACCTTTCTAACGGTCGATAAAGCTTTTTCTAGGTCCGCCTGTCTCAATGCTCTAGGTATCTACAACGTGCAGCAAAAAACAACCATATTCATTTTATTAGCATGAATGCACCAGTTATAGTTAACGGGACAGAGAAAATCGAGGTAGACCTAAACAAACTCTTTGAAGCAATTAAGAAGAATATGTAATACTTTACTTAACAAAGGAGATGTACATACTTAACAAAGGAAGAATAAGATTCATGCAGCTAACCGTGAAAATTTCAAAACATAAGTTCTATTATCCTCTATTTATATTGTTGTGTAAGTTTTATTTCTTTTGGTACGGAATAAAATGCATGTTCATAATGCACATGATAAAAAAATATATATTTATTTAATTTGATTCGTATCGTAAGAATAACATAATATAAACATACATTTTAAGGTGAAACAAAAGATCATGAATACTTGTAGTATTTTTCATCTAATCCTTAAATTCAACCCAATGCAATCTGAAAAAAATTGAAATTTAAATCTACCATATGTTGAATAAGTCAATTTTATTTATTTAAAATTTAAGTCTATTTAATACATTTTATTGTTATTAATTAAAAAGACCATTGAGTATAAACAAAGATTTGTAATGGTGCATTTTTCAAAAATTTATTGTCACTCTTTAAAACATCATAGATCTCAAAAAATCATCATGTCTTTATTTTCTCTTTCTTTTTCTAGTACTTTCTAAAACATGACATGATGATGTCCTAAAGGTTACTAATTAAAGATCTTTTACCTTGTATATTATAATAATAAAAGATATAAATATGAAAGATAAGGTACTTTTAAAAAAGGATATAAACAAATATAATAAGAACAGCCATTAGAGTTTCAATATGGTCTAATGTGAACATTATCGAAAATATATCTAAATACTTTCCTAAAAATAATTAAATATAATAATCTGAAGATCATATATGAAAAAGACTCTTATTAGGGACATTATCTGGGGAAAAATATGTCGTCACTCAAATTGAAATATATGTAATTGCCAGCTTTGAATAAGGTAAGATAAAATATCAAACATATTAAATGAACAAATATCATAAAAAAGACCTTACAAAAATTGATGAAACCTTAGGGTATTAAAGTGACCTTTTATACAATAATTAGAATAATTATCTTTTAATATATGTTGTACGTGCAATAATGCTAGTTCTTTCCTAATTTACCTTTAGTTATGCTGAATGTTAAACAAATATAGAGACATGAGTAACTGAAGCTTCTAGAACTCGAGTACTCATGAACAGGGGAAGCTTTTAAAGCCCTAGCTGAACTCTGAAAAGCAAACAATAATGAGACTATAAGAGTCCTATGTGTGTGTGTGTGTGTGTGTGTGTGTGTGTGTCTCATGAATCCTTACTTGGGTTGTCTTCCCATTCTTTTCCTCCTCCAATAACTCTCTGACAGGAAAATAGGCTGCTTGTTTGCAGAGTTCAAAAATATCTGAACCAGTAAAACCTTCACACAACCGGGCTATATGATCATAATCTATGTCCTCTTCTATTCTCTCCCCCTTCAAGATCACCTTCAGTATCTTAGCTCTCTCGCCCCTGTCGGGTATGCCAATTTCAAAAGCCTGAGGAAAGCGCCTAAGTATTGCCTCATCTAGTTCTGATGGTCGGTTTGTAGCAGCCAAAACCATAACACGTGCATTTTCTGCAACAACAACAATATATAAGTACTCTGCTACATGATAATCTATTTAGATCAAATAAGTATATGACTTTGCACAAGTGAGACATAAGAAAAATTAAGAACAGTAAGTCATAGGGAAAAACATCAGTTATTATTTCTGATATGATATCATGTGAAACTACATCAATTGCATGTCGAAAATTGGAACTCTTTTTCTCGCCGGATATCATATAATTGGTTTTGAAGTGAATTGGAAGTCATTACTAGTTTGCTGGATTCACAAACGTTGTCACCTGTATAAAACTTATAAACAAAGTCAGTTGCTGGAGGGGGGGAAATAGCACCGCATCAATGTATTGCAGTCTTTGCGAGCTTTCATTTTGAGCCAAAAAGACTAGATATTAAATTAGCCATTAACTAAATACTTCTTTATTCAACCTTATTATTTTGGTCTCCCTCCCTCCCTCCCTCTCTCTCTCTCTCACAAAGTACTTGAGTTTGCTTTAACAACATGCCTATACGAATGAGTCACCCACCAAACCTTTTACCCAAAATTTATCTTGTAGGTCATAATTCGAAGCAGAATAATTAAGTTACCTGGGGAGCACAATATTCTAGGGGACAACCAAATAGCAACGATTAATTCAACATGCTCGGGCTTGCCCACGCCCTAAAGAGTTTTTATGGCCATAACAGTAACTCAGTCAGCCCACATCCTTTAAAACGTGTCTGTGTGTGAAACGATTGAATATTTCAATTACGTCTCTCCTCCATGCGGATGACACACATGCATATGTGACTTTTGAAACATGTACAGTAGCTTAATGATGTGCATATGTTCATTCATGACCAATTTGTTTCATTATACATGTCACAATACAACACTTAGTTCAACGTGTTTGTGCTTGCCCAGGCCCTAACGATTTTCCAGGGCCAATAACAGTAAGTCCACATTCTTTAAAACATGTGTGCGTGTGTGATGAGTCAATATTTCAATTATGTCTCTCCTCCACACATGCACGCATGTGACTTGAAACATGCACAGTAGCTTTATGATGCGCATATGTTCATTCATGAATCATGATCATGTTACATGTCAGAGTATGAGATGCACCACTCATTTATCATTATATTACAAAAAATAATTAAATGTCCATAAACATGTTAATTTTAAAAATTTCTACTCCCTTGTTCTTTTGATTGAAGGTGTATTTTATGTTCCAGCAATTATACAAATAGAATAGAAGTTATAAAAGCTTACAATGATTTTATTTATGTTTCATGGCAATGTTACATAAAGCACTAGACGCCGCTAGACACCAACTAGGCAGAGCATAGAAGGATTTCTTTTATTGTTTAACTGGAGGTGGAGGAGATTTTGCTGAAGGTTGGAGGAGTGGAGGAGGTGGAGCAGGTGTATGGAGTCAGTGGAGAAGGCCAGGGAAGTTGGAAGATATGAAGGCGACAACAGAGGAATCTAAACCACAACCTATGCAAAAAAATATGAAGGCGACAGCAGAGGAAATCAAACCACAACCTAAGCTTTACAGTCCGCATAACCGCCTATGCTCCCCTAGGTTCTTCCAAGACCTTCCCATAGGTTCTCCCAAGACCGTTTGCTTAGGCCTAGGCGGAAGCCTAGGCAGGTGCCTATACGGATTTTTAAAACTAGGTTTCATGTGGTGGGAAATCATCATAAGTGCTGTGAGCTATCCACAGGCAAGTGGGAACAACCAACCATGCTTGTGTCCACAGCATAAAATCTAGAAGGGAAATAAGAGCTAGAATAAGCCTAATTCTTGGGCCTACTCAATTTTCTTCCATATGAGGCCACATATCAGTTTAAAGAGATGTCACTGGTTCATTAGTTGGCATGCATGTACAGCTAATTTCAGCAAGGAAAATTTGTATTGAATGAACCTCATATGAAAAAAGGTATTGCTACAAATACAATGTAACATTCAGGATAAACACATTATTATTTTTCTTTTTTGTGCACTGAAAATAGCCAAATACTAATCCTGTAACACGGGTATAATGGGTTCCAACTTAGGAAGATACCGAATTAGTAAAAAGAGCATTACACACTAAAACCCCAACGATTGAAATATGACTAGATTTCCTAAATAGGTCGACTGCATCATAAAAATGAATAAATACAAGAACAAATGTTCCAGATACTCACGATCTGTAGTGAAACCATCCCACAGAGACATAAATTCAGTTTTCATGTTAGTCATGGCTTCATGATCCGTATTACGGCGCTGTCCTAAGAAACTGTCAACCTCATCAATAAAAATGATAGCAGGCTGGAGCTTATAGGCCAGAGTGAAGACAGCAGCCACTGCACAAGTTCAACAAAGAGACACTGAGCACAGGATTATAGAAGAATAAGACAAAAAATGTATTTACCAGGAAAACCAACAGAGATGTGAACAAGAAAAAGAAAATTCAAGTCTACAACAACGTCACATCAAATCAGCACAGAAAACATACTCATTGAAAATGTATTTTTCCAATTGTTAAGATGACATGACCTGACTGAATAGTTCAAAATGCAGAAGAATCAAAATTAACCTGGTGAAATACTTCCGCACCACAAAATTTCTAAGTTTATCTTACTAGTTACTACTCGCAACTGTGCATTATGAAGTCTGAATTCCTAGAATCCTAGTAAAAAATTTCTCCAAAAATGTGTTCTTTTAACATTTATAATGTTATGTCTTGAGAATAACTGTGCATATCAAACTTTTGAAGGCTTCTTCCAAATATCTGTATGAGAGTAGTAGTTCCTACCTGATTCTGAAGATGTATGCTTTTAACAGAAGAAAATCAAATAGAGTTGTGTAATTTCCATCTGCCTGCCTCATCTTATTTCATACTTATTGAACTTCAGGAGTTGAAAAATTGAATCCAATAGGATCAAGTGATATAATATTTCTGAGTTTATGTAGACCTCACTAGTCACCACAGTATAACCTTAAATTACACACATGTAGAATATTTCCGGTTATATCCTCATAGCAACAGAAGAATGAAGAGAAGTGTAGATACTGGATCCTTCTATATTTATATATGAACTCAACAACATCACAAACCAACATACATAGTACTAACCTATTATGATAAATTGACATAATGGACCATTTCAGACTTTGTAGAATCTTCCATTATTTATCTAAGTCCTGCCTGATACTGTTCCAGAATTATTCATCTGATATTGTTTATCACCGCTCAACTGCGTTTGACCCCTAATCTCCTATGCTTAAGTTAAGAAAAGCAGTTCAACGTACCAGCAGAATCTAAACTATTAGCTTAAATATCTTATAACATCTAAACTCTATACAGTCTATCTATTTCCCTCTCTTTAATAGTTAAGTACATACAAAAGGGTACAAAGAATATATACATCATGAAGAAATATAATCAGAGCTCCAAGAATATGGAACTCCACAACTCACAACTCCTTATAACTGTTTTGTGTGTTTATTTTTTTGATTTTTGATTTTTTGATTTTTTTTGCTTTTGGGGGGGGGGGGGGGGNGAAAAAGGGAACTCAACAGATATGATAGAACGATTCATGAAGTAACAGATTCCGGGCGATACTGGAGCCTACACATTTGAATTAAGTAGACGATATTTCTGGATCACATTCAGGATTATATGGGACTAAAGTTCATGGTTACCCACGAGAATATAACACATATTCTTCCACCTGGTACTTGTTTGTAATTTCATATGCTCGTCGCTATATCGAATAGGATCTAATGTGTCATGCCCAACAAACAACTACTTTCTAATTCTAGTTGTATGAAACGTCAACTCTTACCATGACTAGCATAGATATCATAACTTTAGGATTTGAGCATCTCCTTATTGTAATTAACTTACCCAGCTTTTGAGCATCTCCAAACCATTTACTCATCAAATTAGATACCCTCACATTAATAAAAACCGCTCCAGACTCTTTAGCTATAGCCTTTGCTAGCATTGTTTTTCCAGTTCCTGGAGGCCCATATAACAAAACTCCCTTTTGTGGACTAAGAAGCTTTCCATGTGCGAATAATTCAGGTCGCCTCAGAGGAAGAATGACCAGTTCAAATAATGCTTGTTTAATTTTGTCCAGACCTCCAATAGACTCAAACTCAACATCAATATGATCGGGATTTATGACATCACAAGCTATTACATCCTGTAAAATAAGCAAAAAAGATGTCAGAACAAGTAATGAAAACAATATAGGCGCAAATTTATACATAAGAGTTACAAAAGACAAACAATGCAAAATTTAAAAAGAAAACTATTACAAGACACAACACAAATGACAGAGAACAGAAATATATACCGCCTTCATGTAATGTACACAATAAACATATCGGATCTCCAGCAGCACATTGCATGAATCTATATAACTTCATGAATGATCACTACAGGGTTTTTTGTAAGGTCATACATGATACTGTGATTCAGGAAGTTAAGTTTTAGATGACAAGTCGCATAGCTTTCCATGGATCTGTTGATCAAAAGGCTTTAGGGATTAGTTCCGACATTGGTTGCTACTCTAATTGATAGGACATGTTGTAAAACTCGAATAATTAGTAGGGCAAGATAAAAGTAAGCCAGACAGCTTAAGTAGAATCATGTAAAGAAGATATACCACATACAATGCTCTGAGATTACTATTAGGGTTTTCACTCATCATCAATTCTCTAGGAATTTAATAGAGCAACTAAAATTGCACACTATTAGGGTTTACACTCATCATCAAGACTCTAAGAATTTAATACAGTAACTAAAATTGCAGCTTTACCCACAACCTAAGCTTGCCCAGTCAATAGACTGGATATGACATCTATATCCTGCACATAGATAACCTCATCCAGTTTCTACAGCCATTTCCACGGATTCACTGCACAAACTTTCTAAATTTACGCAAATCAGTGAGAATTAATCGAAAAAAGAAGGATTTTTCTTGGTTTATTCAAACAATTCATCCTAAAACAGCAAAGAATCTAAACCTAACCAATTCTTTAAAAAAAACCCAAACGAAGCAATTGATGAGATTGAGTCGATTAAAACCTCGTATTGATTGGTTTGAATAAGCGGTCGACCTAGTCTCTTGGCGATCTCCTTCTTCTGCTCCAGCGCCTTCTTCGACGCCGCTCGATTAGGGTCCAGCTGCCGGAGTCCGGCGAAGAGAACGAGGCAGCTCAGCGCAGCGCTCGCCGCGTACAGGACAAGCTCCTGCAAGAACCTCGTCTCTCCCATAGCTAACCCTCTTTTTTTCCTTGATATTTTTTTTCGTTTTTGGGATTTCCCCGCTTTTTTGGGGGGTTTTTTTTAATGCGTTTCCTTTGATAGTTTCTGGCTTGCCCCCGACGAAGGAACGAGACGATATATGGGGAAAACGTAGACGTCAACGGATTCGTCGTCGGCCCAATTGGACTGGGCTCAGACTTTGCAAGTTGTAAGGGCCAGCAAGATTAATCAGGCTTCGGCCTGGTTGCATTGAACAATTGGACCATATTTATCAGACTCATTTTCACTTCGGTAATTTTTAATTTTAATGCCTCCAACTTTAGTTTAACCTGATAGTTTGACACACCAAAGTTTTTGAATCTCATTTCACTTTAATACTTCTATCGCGGTCTCTTTACATTTTCTGATAAAATTATATCACGTGCTTGGTTAATTTAGGTCAATCTTGCCCGTCTCAGGAAATATTATCTTCCCTACGTATGGTGAGTATTATTTTCAGCATGACGTGCTCTTGTTCTAGTTGAATTTTCTCTATTATAGACATAAGGCAGGGAGAATTATTTTTCATCAAAGGCGTATACTTGACCAAAAGGTATCGTGCGCGTGCGCATAGCACGTGACAAAGTATATATATATATATATATATATATATAATATAAATATGGGAAAAGTGAAACTAAGTGACACCCTATGGCTCCCACCTAAGACGCGGTCTAAAAAATCACATCATTCCTTAAAATATTTTTACGATCCGCTCCGTTGAACTCTGATCTATCACTTCTTTAAACTCAAACACACTAAGTTTTGGAGGTGAACCCGTCATGTTTTTTGACCTTTCATCACTCGCCGCAATTTTTAACGTTTCGAAATGAACAGAACTTTTTGGGAACCGACTCAACGAATGTTCAAAACACGAGGGTTTACCCCAAATAGTGTGTTGGAGTTAAGAACGTATAGATCAACGTTCAAACGGGAGCGGATCGTAGAAAAATATTAGGAAAAGGATGTGATTTTAGGGCGTCCTTTAGGTGGAGCCCTATGGGTGTTCACCGTTAGATTCAAACTTTTCCCATGATATATATATGAATATAATATATATATTTATGATTTTTATTTGCTTTATATATATTTAAATATTTTTTAATATTTCTCTCCTTTTAATTAATATAACAATCTATCACAAGTTAACGATTCAATGTGCGTGTAAATTTGTTGTTCGTACGCAATACTCTTGTGTGAATATGTGTTTTTCAATGGGTAGTTTTTTTTTTATTCTAA